GAGGCTGCAATAGCCAATCAATGTAATGCTTATGAAAGTTTAGAGATGCTTGCTGTGACCCTAAGCCAAAATGAAGAAGAATGGATACTAGACTTGGGGTGCACTTATCATATGTGCCCTAGAAAAGAGTGGTTTTCTGAGTATGAAAACATCAATAGAGGAAAAGTGTTGATGGGAAACAATCACTCGTGCCCTGTGGTTGGTATTGGATCCGTGACACTCAAGTTGAAGAATGGAACTTCACATGTCTTAAAAAATATTAGGCACGTTCCTAATCTAAGGCGAAACTTAATCTCCATAGGGAATTTGGATGATGAAGGCTACTGTTACAAGGCAGAAGGTGGAGTACTCAAGGTACAAAAAGGCTCTTTGGTGGTCCTAAAAGGCAATAAACAACATGGTTTGTATATTCTTGAAGGCCAAACAGTCACAGGTTTAGCGGCTGCCGCAGTGAAGAATGACACACATGTTGTTTTGTGGCACAGACTTCCTCATGTGAGTGAGAGAGGACTTCAAGAACTAAGCAAACAGGGCATGTTGGGAAAGGATCAAATAGGGCACACAACACAGGCTCAAGTTTGTTACTTCAACTTACAGAGCCAAAAAACCTTTGGATTATGTCCATGCAGATCTCTGGGGTCTAGAAAAGGTGCCAACATTTGCGGGTCACAGATATTTTCTGTCCATAGTTAATGATCATTCTAGAAAAGTGTGGGTTTATTTGCTTAAAACTAAATATGACTGTTTTGATAAGTTTAAGCAATGGAAGGCTTTAGTTGAAAATCAAACAAACAGGAAATTAAAGGCTTTAAGAATGGATAATGGGATGGAATTGTGTCATGTGATTTTCACTAATTACTATCAAGAAACAGGAATTCTAAGGCACAAAATTGTAAAGAACCCCAATAGGACTCTTATGGAAAGAGTAAGATGCATGCTTATTAGTTCAGGTCTTAATAAACACTTTTGGGGAGAAGCTGTTTCTACATCCTGTTATCTAATTAACAGGTGTCCTTGTAAACCTATTGGTTTAAAGACACCAGAGGAATGTTAGACTAACAAACCTCTAAGTTTATCAAATCTAAGGGTGTTTAGGTGTGCAGCCCATGCTCACCAAAGAGAGGAAAAGTTAGATCCTAGGTCTATAAAGCGCATCTTTCTTGGTTATCCTGAAGGAATTAAAGGATATAGACTATGCTTAAGAAGTGGTTCATAGTACAAAGTAATTATCAATAAAGATGTTGTATTCAATGAGTTTGATATGCCTTATTTAAAATTAGAAAAAGCTACTGCTCCTAGTGTTCTTGATGTAGGGACATGTGCATTACCATCCCATGAATTACAATTTGTGGTGAAACATTCAAGAGAGCAGACTGACATTCCATCAACGGGTAGGGAAGAAACTTATGAGCAAAACATTCAACCAGATGATCAATATGAGGAAGTTAGTGAACCAACACAAGAATAACAACCTATACCAATCCATAATTTAGATTAATATCAATTGACCAGGGATAGGCCAAGGAGAAATATTAGACCATCTCAGAGATATGATGAAGGAAACTTAATAGCTTTTACCCTTAACACTGCCGAAGAGGTGGACACTGAAGAACCAAAGAGTTTCACTGAAGCTGTAAATGGTCCACATGCAAAACAATGGAGAGCAGCTGTGGAGGAAGCAATGCAATCTTTAAGGAAAAATAATACTTGGGTTCTAGAAAATAAACCCAAGTATCAAAAACCAGGGGATTGTAAATGGATATTCAAAAACAAGGAAGGCATCATTGGCAGAACTAATGAGGTTTAAGGAAAGATTAGTTGCCAATGGGTTTATGCAGGTAGAAGGTGTTGACTACACCAAGATTTTCTCTCCTGTAATAAAATACAAGACCATAAGAACCATTTTAGTATTAGTGGCTCATGAAGATTGGGAACTAGAACAAATGGACGTGAAGATTGCTTTCCTCCATGGAGATTTGAATGAAACAATTTATATGTCACAACCATCGGGGTTTGAGGTTAAAGGAAAAGAAAAACAAGTCTGTCTACTAAAAAAATCATTATATGGCCTCAAGTAGTCTCCACGCCAATGGTGTAAAGGGTTTGATCACTATGTTACTCAAATTGGTTTTACTAGGAGTCATTATGATTCATGTTTATATTTTAAGGATATTGGTACTATGTCTACAGTATATCTCTTACTATACGTAGATGATATGCTAATTACTAGTGCTAGTATTGAGGTTGTTAAGAAAGTAAAAGGTCTCCTAAGTTCTGAGTTTGATATGAAAGACCTAGGTAATGCTAAAAAGATTTTGGGTATTGACATCAAAAGAGATAGGCAACACAAGGTTTCATGCTTATCATGGGAAGATTACCTTAGGAAAGTGAACAAGAAGTTCTCAATGGAGACTTCTAAGAGTGTTAAAGTCCCTCTTGCAGGACATTTTAAGCTCTCAGTCGAGCAATCTCCCTCAACCGAGGAAGATAAAATTAAAATGGCTAAAATACCATATGCTAGTGCTATAGGGTCACTTATGTATTCCATGATCTGTTCTATACCTGATTTAGCCTATTCTATGAGTGTATTAAGTAAATATATGACAAATCTAGGTATGGATCATTGGCTAGCTATGAAGTGGTTACTGAAGTATGTTAATTCTACTATTGATTATGGTCTCATTTATAAATATAAAACTAATCACTTGATCTTGGATGGTTTTGTGGACTCTGATTTTATAGGTGACAGGGACAAGAGGAGATCTACATCAGCATACATGATGACTTTAGATGGAAATTGCATAAGTTAGAAATCTCAACTTCAGCCGATGGTAGCTTTATCAAGTACAGAGGCAGAATACATTGCTGAAACATAAGGTTTCAAAAAAGCAATATGGTTACAAGGACTGGTAAAGGAGTTAAAGGTTTTGACTGGATCAACAACCATTTACTTAGACATTCAATCAGCGATTTATCTGTGTAAGAATCCAATCTATCATGAGAAGACCAAGCACATCAATGTAAGGCACTATTTCATCAGAGAAAAAGTGGAAGAATGAGTAATTCTACTGGAGAAGGTCCACAGAGAGGATAATCCATTAGACATGGCTACCAAAATGATTAGTACTAGCAAGTTCCAGAAGTGTCTGGACTTGCTAAGTATTGGTAAGACTTGAATTATCAAGTCTGAGCAATGACATCCGCAGAAGGATCTCTCATTCAATCCAATGTTGTTCTTTCTGAGATTAAGGTGGAATTTTGTAGAGCTAATCTCATAAAAAGGCTTGATTTGTAACTAAAAGGCATGTCGTTTTGGGCAACTAAAAGGCTTGATTTGCAAGTTTAGATATTTAATAGCTTCAGCCAATTAGAATAGAACAAGTGGCAAGGCTATCACTTTATTGTTTACTTGATTATATAAAGATATAGTTATTGAAGGTTCTGTATTCTTCGGCACTCAGCAAGCTATCACATTGTTGATTACTTAATTATAGGGTTCTTTGGTTGGAGGATTCAAACCATGTGATTCGAATCATTTTTGATTTACATGTATTTTTTGTGAGAGAAAATACTGTAGCGAACCACGAATCATGATTCGAATCAGGGAACGAATCCCTCTACCAAACGCCCCCATAGTTCTTGAAGGTTCTGTATTCTTCGGCACTCAGCAAGCTATCACATTGTTGATTACTTGATTATATAAAGATATAGTTCTTGAAGGTTATGTATTCTTTAGCATTCCATATTAGAGTATTGTATTCTTCAGAAAAGAGATTTAGTGAGAGAAACTCTAAGGATTTCTAGAGAGAGAAATTGTAAGCTTTGGGAACAAGGGAATCTGGAAGTTTCTAGGATTTGTTCTTCCATTAGGAATTCATCTTGTTGTTCGTTTAGTTTCTTCTCCTGGTGTGAGTTTCTGTAATTGGGAAATCTTTGTACTGTAAGGAATTGAAAGTGTAATCTTTCTCTGATTAGTGGATAGTGCTTTCTGCGAACGAGCTCAACGGGGATGTATGAATTTATTCCGAACCTCGGTAAAACAAATCATTTGCGTTCATACTGTTTTGATTTTCTGGCGTTTCTTGCAATTCTGACAAGTTGGTGTGGGAATCGCTCCAACAAGAACATTGACATTCAGAATTATTTGTGTTCCATATTTACATGACAAAATATGGAACCAAATGAATCCTAATCGTTTGGGTTTCGGGGTTGAGTGGAGAATGTATACTTGATGCTGAGAGATTTTTAACGTTTTAGAAACTCGATGGGATTTAAGCTTTGTAAGTATTCAAGTACCGCCGGTGGTGGTAGCATAGTAGTGAGGGCTGATCACTCCACCGCTTCCTCTCCCATTCTTCATAAATTCGATTTTCGATGCGCTTGGACTTCTAAGAATTGTCAATGAGAGCGTATATTGATCTACAATTCATTCCACTTAAGGTCCTATAACCGAAAATTTTCGTACTATTATTGGAGCTTTTGATTTGTACTATACAAATGAACTAGTCAAAACTCAAAGGTCAATAGAATGAGGCATAAATCCCAACCCCAAAAAGGTTTATAGTACGGCTCCCAAAACATGTGATTGTTGTAACATTCCACCTAAGTTTTTTTTACTGAATTTACCATTAAAAGTACATGAATATTGATTTTTATCTTTTATTTTTTATTAATATCATTTTAATTAATATAGTTATTTTACTAAAAAGATATTAAGTAAACATAAAGAATTAAAATCTAAACTCGTACACTTTTAAAGGATATGTCTCCTTTGCCCTTTCTCATTTTTCCCATAATCTCTTATCCAATCCACAGGCTTTGAGCGTCTAAGGGCTTTCCAAGGACTTGGTGTTGAGGTAATGTACGGACACGGTAGGTTTGTATCCATTTCCAAGGTTAAAGCTTTAGAAGACATTTCCAAATTTTTATTTATTTTTTTTCTCTGATGTCAGATATGGAGTTTGCAAATCTGTTTGATAATAGTGGTAAGAACTAAATGCTCAGACATGTGAAATAGCAAAATATTGCATTATTAGAATTCAAGATACAACTATAACCACAGCAGAAAATCTTAACTATAACCAAACAATATCATCTGTCACAAGAGGAACTATCCAGCTTTCTTTGCAATATTATTGAAAGAGAGAGATAATAGAGGCTGAAAGTCTTTCTACAACCATGCCGGGTTCTTCAAACGAGTGACGACAGCCTTCACCTGCAAGTAGTTGTTAAGGCTGTAAACTCCCTTTTCCCTGCCTATACCACTCATCTTGTAACCTCCGAATGGAATCGCAGCATCGAAAACATCGAAACAATTCACCCACACAGTTCCAGCTTTCAATGCCCTTGTCAGCGTGTTGGCAGTGTCAATGTTCTTGGTGAATACCCCGGCAGCTAATCCGTATCGGGTGGCATTGGCCCTTTTTATTACTTCATCAATTTCCCTGACAAAGAACAAAGAATTCGGAGGAAAATGAGTTAAATCTGCATCTGCTCATTCTTGAACACTATCTTCATATTTTTAGCCTTTTTCATTTTCAAGTAGGGTTCGATCAAGTTCGTATTAATCAATATTCGATTGATTGGTCTAAGGTATCGACAAAAAAAGATTTGTCTGTGATGTTCATGCAGAGCAATATCATGATAATGGAATGAGAAAAAGTGGTGGAATTGGATTAACGTACTTGAATTTCAAGATTGATTGCACTGGTCCAAAGATCTCATCCTGTGCTATCAACATATCATCCTGATTGTTCGAAAAAGGAAAAATCATGAGATGTCAGACGCCTTTCACAAGTGTTGCGAGAAGTAGTAAGTCAAGAAATGGACAAGCATATTACCTGAACATTTGAGAAAACAGTGGGCTGGATGAAATAACCTTTGGAGCCAATTCTATCCCCTCCACACTCAAGGGTAGCATTGCTGTCGATGCCTGATCTTATGTATTTCAGGATCTTCCGAAACTGCTCCGAATCGATCTAGGAGTTTCACAAAGTTAAGATTTAAAAGCATCAGCTTATGAATCAACCGGGAGAAATTACGAGTCTTACCCTCAAAGTATCAAGAAGCGCTTAAAGATAAACAAACCAGAAAGTTTTGGAATGACTAGAACTTTTCCAATCACCCCAAACCATATTAAAGAGAGTGAGAATACCTGAGGCCCTTGTTCAACACCCTTCTTGAAAGGATCACCCACACTGCGATTAACAGCTCGCGCCTTTGCTTTTTCGACAAATTCATCGTATACACGTTCATGCACATAAGTGCGAGAGCCAGCACAGCAACATTGTCCCTGCAGAGAAGCCAACAGATTTCTAATATGACCATGTAATTAATAACCGAATCCACCCAACCAAGCCCGGAATTGACTGAACAAGTTACAAACCTGATTAAAGAACAAAGCAAAATGGGCAAGCTCCACGGCCTTGTCAATGTCAGCATCCTCACAAACGATGAATGGCGATTTCCCTCCCAGCTCCAATGTCACTGGCTTTAGATTGCTTCTTGCAGCTAGTTCAAGAACAATCTTCCCTGTGCGAGTCGATCCTGTGAAAGCTAGCTGCAAAGGCAAAGACAATGATTCTAAGATGTGGATGTGTAAGAATTTAATAATATTAAAAGTTCTCTATTAACTGATTCTAGTTAGAACATTGTAGTCCAAGCATTCAGAAGAGGGGGGAGAAATTTTTGCAAAAGCGCTTGAAAAGAGCCGTGCGAACAACATTATATATGCTCTTCTAAAATACCTTGTCCACGTCCATATGGCTTGCGAGAGCTGCACCAGCAGTCGGTCCATAGCCAGACACTATGTTCAAAACACCAGGAGGAAGACCAGCCTGTCACAAGGGATGGTCATTAGACTACAAAGATAAACTCTTAGCAAACATAAAGAGAAAAGAAAAAAAGTGTTCAACAAATTCTTTACAAAGTTACAAAACAAATACTGAAAGACGAGAAAAACAAAATAAAGGAAATACAAAATCACTGGCCTCTTTACACAAATCATAAGTATGAAATCCAAGTCAAAATTATAAATTGACACATAGGAGCCCTTATCACGTCAATTATACCAAATCGGCTTCTCCAAAAGCAAATAAGACGAGATTATTATTAGTTGGCTCAAGTTGATCAATTTTATCTAAACAGAGTGATGATAGAAGAGACAAACCAAAGCTCACCTCATGCAATAACTTTCCTGCATAGAGAGCAGTCAAAGGAGTTTGCTCAGCAGTCTTTATGACAATAGCATTACCACATGCTAGAGCAGGTCCAACCTTCCAAGCAAACATGAGAAGGGGAAAGTTCCACGGAATTATCTGACCTGTAACACCAATCGGTTCGTGCAGCGTCTGCACATGATATTTCCCATCCGCGGGAACAGTTAGTCCATGGATTTTGTCAGCCCATCCTGTAAAGTACGAGGAAGTAAATGGTTGGAGGAAACCCAATGCAAACAAAAGGAACCAAAAGCCAACAATGTAAGTCATCTCTCTCACCCGCGTAGTAGCGAAACAGGCGTGCCAGCATCGGTACCTCGGATGTTGCAGCCTGTTCATAAGGCTTCCCATTGTTCCATGTCTCTAAAGCTGCAATCTCATCATTATGTTTCTCGACCAAATCCGCAAAGCGCAGCATTATCCGCGATCTTTCCTGAAATTTAATCATTGTTTAAAAAGAGAAACGTACTACCTTTAACATAAAATAATTCACATAGTAATTCATAAACAAAACCACTCTAAAGCCCTTTGATGCCGATAATCAAATGCATCAAAATTTCCTCACATAAGCAGTCATCTTTGGCCATGGCCCTTCATCAAATGCCTTGCGAGCAGCAGCAACTGCGCGGTTTATATCTTCTGCGTCGCCCTCCGCGACATGAGCAATCACCTCCTCGGTGCGAGGATCATATGTTGGAAATGTTTTTCCTGAGAAATAAGAGATTATGAAATTGAATTTTGGGTTTGTCTTCGGTCATTCAGAAGACCAGTCTTATACTGTAATATAAAAATGGTGCTCTAACATAACATTTACTTTCTTTTATGTAACAATAATTTAAAAACATGTAACATGGTATGCAATAAATAAATTTCTTATTGTTAATTAACTAATAGTGCAAGATTTCTTTGTTCTCTTTAATTGGAAGGAAAAAAAAAAAGGCATTACCTGACGCAGCATCCACAAAATGGCCATTAATTAGGTGCTTGGTATAAGCAATTTCAACAGGTGGAATTATCGCTTCTTCAGCTGCTACAGAAGTGCTAAACCTTGTTATACTGTTTCCACGGACAGATCCTCCTGAAAATTACATTTTTAAAACAGGAAGAAAAGAAAAAAAAAAAAAAAAAAGTTACCACTCATTGGATATACTGGAAATAAAAAAAGAAAAAAATAAACCCAATAACTAAAACGATCAAATTAAGCCATGATTTTCTCACATAATCCAAACCGTATCAATTTACAAATGGCTAAGTTCTATGGTTGTTTACTGCGAATATCACACAGCCCATCTTCTATGTACAGATACTTAAAAGTCTCTGTTTGGTGGCCGAGAAAACTCCAATCCGAACAAGAAAACACTTTGTACTATAAAAGAAAAGAAAACCCTTTCATTATTTTACATCAATTTCAAGAAAGCAGGTTGAATTGAATTTCGTTATATCTTCTTCCCCTTTTTTCATATGTATATTAATATAAACAGGGTTATAAGAAGTCAATTAGTGAATAGTAATACTCAGAAAAAACACATTTTTTTTTTTTCAACTGAAGAAAGTACAGAATCAGAATACACTGAAAACACATTTTTTCGCCAGAGAAAAGAAAAATAAAGAATCAACCCCAACACTGATTATGCAGATATAGAATAAGATGAATTTAAAAAAAGAAAATCCCAGAAACACCATGGACAGAAAAACCAAAAAAAAAAAAAAAAGAATAAAAGAACAAAACAGATTCTAGAAGCCAATCACCATTATCATAACGGCAAAAGAAGAAAGAAGGGAGAGATTAAACAATATAACCTGAAAAACAGGAAAGAAAGAAAGAAAGGTGACAACAGTTGAAAAGAGAAATGGTTACCAAGAGAACGAAGCAGAGAAAGAGAACCCAAAGAAGAAGAAGAAGAAGAAGAAGAAGACAGAGAGAGAGAACGAGAGAACAACTGGGAAATCCTCCGAGCAGCCATGGCCAAAGGAAAATCTGAAAAGGCTTATCTTTTGTGTATATAATGTATAATAAAGAAAAAAGCAGAGAAAGAAAACAGAGTCCTCTCTCTCCCAATGCGTGTGTGAGCTCTACTCTTTTGCCTTTTTTCCACCAAGTGGACCGTGGACAAAATGCATGATGCCCCTCGAGAATTCACCGTACTCGAGCGCCAACAAACAAAACAAGAAATTATTAAAAAAAAGAAAAAAAGAAAAATAAAACACAAAAACAAAGCGTGAAAAGATTTTTTTTTTTTTTTGTACTTAAAAGTATTTTATTGTTGTACATATCTTAATTTAATCGAAATATATTTAATTAGAATATGTTAAACTAACTTAACTAAATATACCATTGGTTGAAAAAATTTTGTCAGTAACATTATTTTTTAGAAAATTTTCGGGTAAATATATTTTTTTCTCAATAGTAGCATCCTTTTATTATTAGGGTCGGAATTATGTCAGGAAGGTTATTTTTGAGAGAAATTTTTTGATACAATATTTTTATGAGAGATTTTTTGGTACGTCTGACGTACCGGTAAGTTAAGTTTATTTAACCGTTAGATTTAATACTTTTTTATTTTTACGTGATTTTATGCATATCTCACGGATATAAAACTTGGTCTACCGGAAAAGGTCTATATCTTTATTAATATGGTCAATTTTAATCGTTGGATCTGATCAAACTCACATTATATTAATAATATATATATATATATATAACAAACAATTTTTGATACAGTCTAATAGTTAAAAACAATCTTTTCAAAGTTTATTTTGTAGACCTTATTAGAAAAAAAAAATTTCATAACTAATGAAAAATTCTCTTATTCATTTGTTTATGAGAAACTAGTCCCCAGAAAAATAGATTATTAGTAGTCTTTCACTTTTCAACTATTAAATTTGTATCAAAATTTATTAATTTTACATACTTATTTAATTTAATGTAATTTTAACTAGATTTAACAATTAAAAATTAAACATACTAGAGAAGGGCCCTTGTTTATGATTGTAAAAATTAGAGCCAAAAGTTCTTTTTAAAAGAAACCTATACGTATTAGAAAGGAATAATTGTTACCTTTGGAGTATAGAAAACAAAATACAAAATACTGACATTTAGAAGAGGCTTGTTAATTCTTATGTAATTTTAATGTGATTTAAAATGTAACGCAAGCTACATTAACTTATAAATATTACTTAAATAACATTCTTAAAAAATATTATTACTTTTTTAAGGGAAAAGAAGTACGTTGAAAATAAAAGTACTTTTTGCTCATGAGTAAAAAGAGAAACACTGGGTGTGTTTGGTAAGAAAATTCGTATCTTGATTCGAATCATGGTTCATGGTTCGATACAATATTTTTTCTCACAAAAAATATATATAAATCAAAAATAATTTTAATCTCGTAATTCTAATTTATGAACCAAACGTATCCTTAAAACTATTTATTTTATTAATTTAATTTAAGATGTGATTTTATATAAAAAATTTTTATTATAATAAAAGAGTTAAATACAATTACTTTTAAAATTTTTTTATTATAATAAATTTTAAATTTTAAATTTAAATTAATGAAATAAACGAACCTCAAAAAATAAATTAGCAGGCCAATAAACCCTAAAAAAAAAAAAAAAAAAAGAGCGGTGTTAGTAGGCGAATAATGTGATTTCTCAATACTCATGATGCAACCACTTCACCCGGAAAAAAAAAAGAAAAAAGAAAAAAGAAAACGACGAAATGTGCTCTGTTTGTTTCCCCTCTTTTTGTGGCAAACTTGTTGTCTCCCTCTCATCGCATCGGGATTCCCATCATTACTATTTTCTTCTTAATTCTGAAAAAAAAAATGTCAGAAACTTTAAAATGTAAAAAGACCTATTAATAAGAGAGATTCATTTAAACAGTCAGATTGTTGAAATCATATTAAATTAAAAAATTGATAATTCACGAGTGTGTTTCGTGAATTAAGGGCCCGTTTAATTCGTTAATTTGAGTTTTTAATTTGAGTTGAGATGTGATTTTATGTGAGAGTTTTTTACTGTAGTAAAAAAGTTAAATGTGATTGTTTATGAGAATTTTTTACTGTAGTAAAACTTAAATTCTAAACTCGAATCAACGAAATAAACGGGGTCTGATGATGATGAACTTTTCTTAATTCCAAATATATGGTCTATGCTTTCCTTTTTTACAGAATTTATTCTTATTAATTGCAACGTTTACAATTTCAAAGACGAAAAGAAGGAAAATAGTTGCAATCAATGAGGTGTTTTTAACCATAATCTGATCATGATTCTTTTGTTTTTGTTTTTGCCGTAATGGCAATGATTCTTTTCATGTGAACTTTATCATAATTAAATTTTTGTTCGAAAGTTATCATAATTTTGCACCTAGTTGTTGATAAAACACCCATTATCAAACATATTAATTAAATTCAGATAAAATAACATATAAAATTAAATTTACGGACAGATTGACGAAAAGTACCTTTAAAATGAGGTTGCACGTAATTTTGCACCAAATGTTGAGGATTTATATTTTTTTGTTATGAGGGAGTTTCTCAAATAAAAACTATTAGTAATTTTTTATTTTTAAACTTTCAAATTTATATTAAAAATTATTTATTATGTATATTTTTTTAATTTAATGTAATTTTAATTAAATTTAATGGTTAGAAATTGACTCTATTAAAGGTTAATTATTGAAAAATGCCTTATTTCTTTTTTTTTCTTTTTTTTTTTCCTTTTCTTTTTACTCTCTAAGGAGATATAGAGAGAGGGGGGATAGTTTTTGGCACCTAATGCAAGTCAATTAAATTGGTTCAAATCCAGGTCAAATCAAAGCAAGGCGTGGGTTAACTATTCTATTTGGATCTTTAGCTAACTCAAGGTGCCAACTGGGTATTAGGACTTTTTTTTTTCCGAATAAATTGTGTTTCCCCTATTTTTCCCAAATATGAAAACTCATATACTTCTACCAACACTTCACCAAAAAAATAAAAAAATAAATAAATAAATCCAGCAATATATTTAAATTTAAAAAATACTTCTGGCAAGGATAATAAAAGTCTCATTCAACTCTTTATATACATGTCATGTATATCTTACCTTCACAACCTTAGTCAACATTTACTTCCTCTTTTCTTTAAAAAAAAAATTAAAAATTAAAGGTGAACGATTTTAATGTATGTTTCAAAATAGAATCAAGTGTAAATTTATCGTTAAATTATGTTTACCGCCATAACGTTTGACTTCTTAAGTCGTTGATTATATCAATTTTAGATAGATATAACTATTGTCTGTATTTAGTGAATAGTTTCACTCAATTACGTAATCATGATAAGTATTTATTGACCATCGACAATGTTACGTCCAATAGATTTCTATCAAACATCTTTTAATTTGTATTTCATAACTCATTTTGCAGTCAAAGAGTGAAGGGCAAATTAACTAGTGGTTGGCGTCTTTGCAATGAGACTCCGTTCTTTTTACTGATTCGAGTTTAGAATTTGAGTTTTACTATAGTAAAAAGTTTTAAAAAAAGTCACATCTAACTTTTTTGTTATAGTAAAAAGCTCTTACACAACATTACATCTCAATTCAAATTAAAAATTTAAATTAGCGAACCGAACGGTCCGAAGAATTTTTTTTTTCCCTTACGTATCCTAAAATTTTTGTTGTTTGTACGAAATTACGTCTTACACTAGTATTGTGATTGGCATATATCTACTGCCTTCCGAATATTGGTGGTCGATATTTTTAAAGTTAAACAAATTTTATTGGGAGAAAAGTTCCAATGGCACGGCAAAATTTCTATTGGGAAAAAATTTCTATTATTGTTATTGCACTCAGCTACTTTGAAACTTTTGAAGTTAAAAATTTCTTATAAATAGAGAAATGTATGTATATGTAAAATATATAAATTAAGTAGAATTAAAATATAGGTGTAATAATAATAATACTATTAAAAAATTTTCTATTGGGAGAAAAGTTCCAATGGTACATCAAAATTTCTATTGGTAGAAAACTTCTATAATTGTGATTGGACTAAAGCTACTTTGAAACTTTTGAAGTTAAAAATTTCTGTTGGGAGTAAAATTTTGGTTGGAGGATTTGTTCTCTGATTCGAATTATAGATTATGGTTCGCTATAGTATTTTTCCTCACAAAAAATATACGTAAATCGAAAATAATTCTAATCTCATGGTTCTAATCCATGAACAAAACGGGATAATATGAAGTCTAAGTCACATAGCATGAACATTAACTTTTTTTTCTTTTTCCCTTTTTTCCTCCAGAAAGGTGACATGCATAAGCTTGGCGTGGTCTAAATTAAGTGCCTCATTATAAAACGTTGAGTTGGTAACCATGGATAAAATACTTGGTAAAAAAAAAAAATTTCACCGACAAAACAACGATTAACACGATATAACACGATACAAACGTTGAGTCATCTCGACAAGGTACAAAGTCGATCAACACAACGCGGATACAACAATATCCCTTTTAGAAATTGATTTCAATTTTTTATGTTGAAGAATTCATGATATCAAAATAGTCCTAACACATTGTTATAATTTCAAAGGTGTAAAAGACTGTATGCTAAATAGAATTACGTGAAGAAATGAGCTATAGCTGCCATTTTAGAATTGCGTAAACCAAACTACTTTTAAAAGCTTTGAATTTTCAGTTTTTATAGGCATATGTGGTTCTTATGGTCCTCTATTTTATTGGATTCAAATTACGTGTTCAACGTCATTGTCTAAAATGTTGTTTAATGAATCTGAATGTGTCATGTCATTTAAAAATTTAAAAATATTTTTAATCAACCCTTTTTTTTATATATATTTAGATCTTTTAAATGACATATCATATTTGATTTGTCAGACATTAAATTGAGACACTAACAATTAGATAAGTAATTTGAGTCTCATTTTATGATTACGAAATGACGAAAGAAGAAAAGGGGTGGAGACGATACACAAAAGTCAATTGTAACAACCTACACTTTTAGGTTATTGCTATTTTAGGTGCTCATTTAATACTTTTAAGGTCGTCCATATACGTAATAATTCTTGAGCAAAAAGTAAAAACCTATATAAGTACTAAAATCTAAGTAGCGCTGTAGCAGCCTGTGAAATTTTTTTTTTTTTTTTTTTTTTAAAAGCAAGGGAAAAAACAAAAACCGAGGCAAAAGAAATATATTCAAAGCAGATAACATGCATAATGCATAATGCATAATGCTCTTTCACGCACTGCAGAAATATTGTTGGAATTAAAATTCTTGACTAGGTTTATCTGTAATTTTGCATTATTTTCTGGTGTACTAAGCTCCCATTGATGTAACTACTGTTGTAAAATTTTATGAAGGTAAAAATGGGATATTAATTTCAAATATTTGGTCGGACCAAAGAGCTAGATAAATTATCGTTATAAGTTGGTGTTTATTAAATTTAAACAATGTGGCACTCGGTTTAATTTTAATCTTTATATTAGCGTCTACTTTCTAACGAAAAGGAATCTCTGAGAGCCATGATCGGTAACTCTTCAAAAAAGTTCTTTTACAAAGCTTTTTTTATTATATATTATTATTACATTAAATCTTCATGAATCTAATTTCTTAAAGCTTTGCAGCAACTAATTAATTGCACAACTAGTTCGTGTGATGCCAATACATATATTTGCAGGCAAACTTTTTCTAAAGCTTTATTGTTGTGGATGCTGTCTAGATTGAGCTCATACGTCCTCTTATTTATGTCCCATTTTATGTCTTTTAATAAAATCAGAATAAGTCAATTATATAGTTTTTTAATTGACGTGACATGAAATATTAATTAAAATAACATGATATTATTAAAAAGGCATGAAATGAGACACGAATAAAAGAGTCAAATCCATGGTGCCACCCCAACAATTTGAGAGCTTATTACAAGCTTCTTTCTCTATTTTTGTTAGTTTACCAATTTATCCTAAAAGTTTAAGCTGTGTTTGTATCCTCGTATTGCATTACAATGCTATCTTGTTTCTACAAAGAATCAAAGTCTATATAGTTGTTCTATAACTAAATATTTCGGAGTGCACTTTTACAAAGCGTATTTTGCACCCGCACATATTATTATCTTAAAAGAACGGAATCTATCCTTAAGTACAGTGCCCACAATATCTCTATCTTACTTCCAACAACAAATTATCCTTGTTTTGTCTGATATCCGCAGCTTCTGCTTTTAAGCTTCATATTTTTACTGCATATTCTTTTAAGCCTTTAAGGTTTATATAATATCACTTCAAGTGGGGTAAGAAAACTTCTAGTGGAGCAAGAAAAAACCTTAATTTCTTCTTAGAAAGTGTTTGCAATATACTTCTCCAAAGATTTTGGAACCCAATAAATAATTTGCAGTAATAAAAAATGTCTTATCCTCACCATAGGCCTTATCATGCTAAGCCTGAGCCTTTGGGCCAATTCCAAGGGCTTCAAAATCAGTGCCCGGTGTCTATATGGTAGGTTTGTGGCAAGGTCCAATGTGGTCATATTTTTTTCTTTTTTTCTTCTTTCCTTCTTCTTTTTTATTTTTTTTTTTAAAAAAGGACTAAAGAAAATGAACGTAACAAGGATACATGGCCAAAGATATGATATATAGTAATAAGGACATTGCCTAAATTCCAACCCGTGAAATATTATTTAACCAAAAGCAAACATATCTTCTGTCACGGCAACTTCTTTAATTTCATTGGAGACAAACAGAAATGTAACGTTCTCGTTATTAATGAAATTGAGAGAATTATGCTTATAAAAAAAAAAAAAAAAGATCTTGATAGTAGATGCAGCATAATATTATTAGTTTGCAGATGCAGCATCAGCAAAGCAATTTCAAAAGGCGGAGTGATTAATTCTTTAGCTGCGACTGCGGTTCCTCTAATACAAACATTTCTTACATCAGAAAAAAAATCATTTTCAATCAAATGTTTATATCAAATAATTGGGGAAATAATTGGCTCTTTTCTAGCTAAATTGGAGCTGAGTCAGTCCACATGTAATATAAATACTCTTAACTCTTTGTTCGGCCCTCAGAATACTATGGTCCGAAAACAAAAATTCAAAAATAAAATAAAACATTGTGCAGTAAGAATCAACAAAAAGATATTTACATTAATATTCTCTTACACAGTAAAGAAAGAAGATTAGATTTATTACAGGTACTTTTACGCTGGGATATTTACATTGATACTCTGATATGATAAAAATATATATATTTATGTCACTACACTAAAAAAAAAAATAATTATCATTTAATTAATAAAAAATAAAAAATTAATGACATTTAATTATTTAAAATAACATAAATAATGTGTTTATATAAAATGAGGAAAAATCCCGTGCTTTTCTGTCGGTTGCTTTTTTTTTTTAATTTAAAAAATGTTTCATAAAAACCCGTGTTAAAAGTTTTTGAATACATGAATCAGAATCCGATTACATTTTTCTGTCTTAGCATGTGTTTGGTAGACTGAAAAGACATGTCTCCTGTCAGCCTTTAGGAGTAAGAAACGACAGAGCAACTAAACGACATGTCTCCTATCAGCATTATTAACAAATACGAGCTCAAAGCCTTAAACGACAGACAGAGAAGAAACAGAGATAATGCCCCTGCACCACCGTACTTAAGCAAATGCAAAAACGTGAATTGTACAAGAAAGAACCTAACCTAATGTCACCAACAACATTATCTATTTATAATTATAAATCACAAATTTAGCCTTCAATATAAATTATATTAGCACATTGCAACAATTTTGCCAGCTAAGAAAATAAAAATGTCTCGACTAAAATATCTATCCGAAAAAATTCGACGATAAAAGTGCTAAAAACTCTATACTAAAATGACCTTAAAACTTCACAAATCTGCTGAAAAATCAGGGTCCTCAGGCTTGAACAGCTTCTTGGGCATTTTCAAGCTGTTGGCATCGGGATCAAGCGCGGGCAGTACTTTTTGGTTAACCCCTCTTCTAGTGTTACCAGAAGAACCCTCTTGATCACCATTTTCCTCTCCAACATCATGATCATCAACCGACATTAATCCGCTGATCTTGTAATTATCGAACTCTTGTTCCGCAACATTACTGTAATAATACTCCTCGTGTCTAGCCAATTCCAAAGCCATCTTCCTCTTCCAATACCTTCTCCAAGCCACTTGTATGTAACAAGCCCCCCAAGCCCTCCACTGGTGGGAGTAGTATCTAAAAGCCTGCTGCAGCCTCTTGCTGTGCAGGCGCTTGAACTGGCTGGCTACGAATTTGAGGTCCTCGGCGCGGAGGGCAAAGGCCTCAACCTCGGTGAGCGACCGAACTGTTCGGGTTGAAGAAGGCAAGTTGATGCTGGAAGTTGGCATTAGAGCCCATGTCAGGAGCTCCTCGCCACAGAAGTCGCCTGGACGGAGGGCTATGCAGTTGAAGAACCCTGACCTTCCGCCGTCGGTCGTGGAGCTCTCTAGTTGGCCTCGGATTATGAAGAGCATCTCGTTTACTGGGTCGCCTTCCCGGACAATGTACGTGTCCTTTGTGTTTAGGGATGAGACCAAGCGCTCGCATATGGCGTCTAGGAGTTGATCATCCATTTGTGCAAAGAAAGGAACCTGAGATAGACAAGAATACCACTTTTTTAGTACACAAATTTTTATTGTTTGATAGTGATAGTGCACGTTTCTGACCGTTAGATATAGTTAAAATCACATCAAAATAAAAAATTTATGTATAACTAACAAATTTTAAACAAATTTGACAGTTCAAAAAACAATATGCCTTGAAACTGTTAAGACGACCACTTTTTTTTTTTCTTCGGAATATGGTTTAATGCAACTAATTTAAATAAAATGTGCTATTGATAATTATTCCCTCCCATATTTTGTCTGTTTTATGCAAATTTATTTCATCTATATAGTTACTTACACGACGAACAAGGGCAAGACAAAGATGCCTTTGAATTTGACGTCTCAAATCCAAGGGCAAATCCTGCAAAATGGACTCTTCATTTACACCTCTTGTGGCAATCCATTTGTATTGCACAAACCGACGAACTCGTTCTTGTAACTCTAACGGGAGTTGTCTGTGTCTCATCCATTCTTCTGTGTCTCTTCTTCTGATCCTCCATTCTTCAAGTCTAGCACTATTTGATTGCAGATAAGTCTTCAAAGAAATCAGAAATCATCCATTAAAACACAAGGAAAAAAGAAGAATTATTTAATAGTCTATATTATACGTGAAAAAAAAATCGACCGAAGGACAATCCGCACAATTTGAACGGTGAAAAAGTGTACCTGCATGTTGCCTATGAGATGAGAGAAAAGAACCAGGCCCGCTGAGCAAATAAGAATGCTGAACAATATTTCACCACGAAGAGTACTTGCCGCAATGCTTTGTCCATATGAACTTCACATTACGAAACGAAAGAGTAAAAAAGTGTTACATATATAAATATAGGGTGTGACTAAAACATAATGTGACACAAACAAATAAGTATGTATATATACCTTAAACTTCTCAAGCCCCACCAAAGGCAATAGAAGTACTTCTCTGTGAAGTGCGAAGAGGCGATTTCGCTAGTGAAAGCATCCTCGAACATTCCAAACTCAAAATTTTTATCGTCATTCAGAGCGTCGCAGCTGGTTAGGACCTGAGTACCCTGCATCCAAAACCGGCGTTCGGGGTTGCTCAGGCTGCTGCAATCAAGAAAAGAAGGATGGCAAGAAGGAGAGTGTGTAGCATTCATTTCTTTGTCACATTCTAGCTTCCAACATTGATGCTGGCGCTGGATGGACAACACGTACCATGAAGCTCCGACGACCTGCAATGACAATTCAAGACGATTAATGATAGTACAAGGAAGAGGACGAGAACTTTGGGATGATCATCAAATGTGGAGAAGTAATGTTATAAAGGGACTTACATGACTAGCTAGAATGTACAGAAGGAGATTGTATGCTGCTCCTGCCCAAGCGGTCTTGGCTATAGCACCAGTTGTTTTAACAATTCGTCGGTTTAGGGGAAAGATGAGGAAAATGCGAGGGACATATTGAACAAGAACAATTAGAGAAAGAGTGTGATTAGCATGAGCAGCCGTTGGATTTTTTACTGCTGGAATCACAAACCATGTCACAATCTGAAAGAGACAAGAGCATGGGCTTCAACCAAAGAAGAAAGGGAGTGGGTGAATAAACACAAAAACCACATGGGATATATTATTTTCTTGCAAAGTTCCCACATTGAATAAACAAAGCTATGTCATTGCTCATCAAGTCTATATATGAAAATACTCTACTTTTTGTTTGTTGCCTCAAAAACTATTTGAAATGTTTATGATTGAATGTTTATGTTAGTGGCAACTAAACAGATCAAATAGAGATTTATTTGAAAAAGAGTAATTTGCACAAATGGTCCCTAATTAAGTAACAGTTTGGCTTTTAATCTTTTTTTTTTTACAAATCGACCCCCAACCTCTTTAAATGGGTGCAATTTAGTCATTTCTGTTAAATTTTTAAAAGATTCCTGCATGTGAGCATCACGTGCCTTCTTTTTTCAATTAAAAGATAAAAATGCTATCAAAACATCCCACCCATGGCCTTCTTCTTCTTCTTCTTCTTGTCCCAGTTATTCTTTCTTCTTCAACCTCATCTTACACACTTTCAAGCTCGCAGCTATTCTGTTACATTCCTGAACAGTTCAACGATTCACAAATAGAAACAAATTGATTCTCTAAAAATTCAGATAGATCCTCTTTATTGATTCAACCTCAAGACCTCCGTAGGAGATGAACACCTCCCTTAGAGAATTACATGAATGATGGAAATAAAAAGAAAAGGACTAAGAAAAGATAGAATTGGGAGAATTCGAGGTTCCCAGCCTCCAAGGTCTGAAACAGAAAAATACTCAATTCCCAGACCCCCTCCTTACGTCCTACCATGCTGCCTAAATACCTTTCCGCTCCACTTGTAACTAACTTGCCAACTCAGCAGCAATTATTCCCTAATTCCACTTCCTTCCCCTGCTTCCTGCAATATACCCTTCCTGCCCCTCCTCCTATAATACACTAACGTCACAGGAGGCCTAACACTACCCCCTTCTTCAAGAACCACCATGTCCTCAAGGTTGAAGTTAGAAAATTGTGTCCGGATGGCCGCAACAGGCTCCCAGATGGATTCCCAATCGGGCAGGCCTAGCCATTTAATTAGCACCTCCATTTCCTCACGACCTCCTATCATGACCACACGTGTTGCCAAGGCTTCCACATGCTGGACACACAGCTCCAGGTCTTCCGATAATTGAGAGGGCAGAGGATGTACCCTAGCCTCAGCTCCCCGGAATGGTTTCAGCTGGGAGACATGGAAGACCGGATGTATGCGAACTTCATCCGGTAATTGCACCCGATACGCCACTGGGCTGATGCGCTAAGGGCCCATAGTAATGCGGGTTGAGCTTCTCATTGATGCGGCGGGCCAAGGATTTCAGCCGATAGGGTCACAATTTGAGCAGCACCTTAGCCCCTACCTCGAAACTTAATTCCCTCCGATGTCGATCAGCAAATTTCTTCATTCGATTCTGAGCAACCACAAGATGAGATTTCAGCAGGTCCAACATGGCATTGCGCAGGGCCAACTGGTCCTCCACTGCTGCCACAGTTCCTGGAGAGTCGTTGAAGGGAAACAGGGCTGGAGGGTCGCGTCCATAAACGATGCGGAAAGGGGTAAACTTGGTGGAGGCGTTAAAGGTGGTGTTAAACCAATACTCTGCCCACGGAAGGAAGGCCGACCACTGTTTCGGTTTATCACCTGCGTAGCACTGTAGATAGGTTTCCAAGCAACGATTCACGACCTCGGTTTGTCCATCAGATTCGGGGAGGTAAGCGAAACTAGTATGGGGCTTTGTACCCTGTAACTTGAAGAGCTCACGCCAAAACCCACTCATGAACACCACATCCCAATCACTCACGATGGACCGTGGGATCCCATGCAACTTGACGACGTTTGTGACAACTAAGGCAGCCACCTGCTTTGCCGAAAATGGATGAACCAAAGGACAAAAGTGGGCATACTTGGATAGTCAGTCGACCACCACTAATATGGTGTCAAATCCACCAGATTTTGGTAACCCACACACGAAATCCATGGATATGTCGTCCCAGACTTGGGTGGGAATCGGGAGGGGCTGTAAGAGGCCGGCAGGGGATAAAGCTTCTGACTTGTTCCTCTGGCACACCTCACATTGAGCTACGTAGTCTTGAATTTGCCGCTTCATCCCTCTCCAGAAGACCACAGCGAACAGCCGTTTGTAGGTGCGCACAAAACCCGAATGACCCTCAATCACCGAGTCATGAAATTCAAGAATCAAACGAGCTATCCAAGGGGAGTCATTTACCAACACCAGCCGGTCCTTATAGAACAGCAGACCATTCTTCAAGGCATATCCCGCCACAGCCTCCCCTTCCTCGAGTTTAGAGATGATAGGTGCCCACGACGTATCGGTACGTTGCTCCAGCTGAATGGTGACAAAATCCCAAGTGTGGGGAATAGTTAGAGTAGACAGGGAGGACTCCTCTTCATTGCCCCGACGGGACAGAGCATCCGCAACCCGGTTGGATGCCCCTAACTTGTATTCTACCTCAAAATCGTATCCTAACAGTTTATAAACCCACCGTAGCTGCTCGGGGGGTAGCTGCCATTGACTCATCAAGAACCGTAAACTTTTTTGATCGGTTCTAACCATAAAATGGCGGCCAAAGAGGTAGTGCCTCCATTTTTGTACTGCAAGGACCACCCCCATTAATTCCCTCCTGTAGACGGACTTCAATCGGGACGAAGGGGCGAGTGCTTTGCTGGAAAAGGCAATGGGCCTGCCCTCTTGCATCAACACCGCTCCTAAACTACTTCCCGAAGCGTCATTTCAATGATAAAGGTTTTGGAGAAATCATGCATGGCCAAAACCGGAAGCCGTGTCATTGCTGCCTTGAGGTTCTCAAATACGAGGGTTGCCTCCTCTGTCCACACAAAACCTTTTTTCTTAAGCAACTCTGTCAAGGGTCTGGCAATGTTTCCATAGCCCCTGACAAAGCGTCTGTAGTACCCGGTGAGTCCTAAGAACCCCCGCACCTCCCTTGCGTTGCACAACACCGGCCATGAAGTGACCACCTGTATCTTAGATGGGTCAGCAGCAACCCCCCTGGCCGAAATAATATGGCCTAAGTATTCCAATTGTTGTTGGCCGAAGCAACACTTTGCCTTATTGGCAACCAATTGGTCACGTTGTAGTATGCAAAGCACCACGGTGAGGTGCTGGCGATGCTCCTCCCATGAGTGGTTGTAAACTAAAATATCATCAAAAAATACCAAGACAAACCTTCGAAGATGTGGATGAAAAATTCGATTCATTAGGGCCTGAAAAGTGGCAGGGGCATTTATCAGGCCAAAGGGCATGACAACGAATTCGTAGTGTCCGTGTGTGTGAAATGTCGTTTTTTTGACATCTGCCTCGTGCACTCGGATTTGGTGATAGCCAGCTCGTAAATCCAGCTTCAAAAATAGGACCGCCCCATGATGTTCGTCCAACAACTCACCGATCATCGGAATAGGGAACTTGTCAGGAATGGTCACCTGATTAAGCGCACGATAGTCAACGCAAAAATGCCAGCTCTCATCCTTCTTCTTAACCAATATAACCAGACTGGAATAGGGGCTGCTGCTTAGCTTAATAATCCCCGAGGTTAGCATGTTTGTTACTAACCGTTCAATTTCTCCCTTTTGAATTTGTGGAAACCAGTAAGGCCTTACATTGGGTGGGTCAACACCTTCCTTTAACACAATTCGATGGTCCCGTCCTCGGTGGGGCGGAAGCCCTGTTGGTGATTCAAACACCCTCTTAAACTGGTTAATCACTGTTCAAACCTCCTCTGGGATTTCTTTAATTTCCTCCTCCATGTCCAGCCCTGACAACTCACACACTTCTACCAACAAGCCAGCCCCTTCTGGTGACAACCTCCGTACTAGGGCATTCATGTTGACAGGGGCGTAGCAAAGACTAGGGTCGCCATTCCAAATTACCCACGTGGGCCCCACTCTGAACTTCATTAGGAATTTTGCCCAATCCGCCCTAACTTCCCCAGCGTGCTCAGCCACGACACCCCCAGGACCAGGTCCACACCCCCTAACGTAAAGGAGAAGAAATCCTCTACCACCAAGTGACCCTGAATCCACACGTTCACCCCTACACACGCCTTCCTGTTTAACTTTCAACCTATTACCCACTACAATATTGTGACTTACTGTGGAGTCCTTTGGCAACCGCAGTTCTTCCACCATCGTCTCAGAAATGAAGCTGTGAGTTGCTCCACTGTCGACAAGCACCACAACCTCATGGGCTCCGATTCGACCCTGGAGTTTCAGGGTGTTGGACGATGACACCCCCCGCATCGAGTTCAGGAACAAGTTTACCTTCTCACACGCGTCCTCTTCCCCTCTGTCCTCCCCAGACCGAGTGCCCTGACCGCCATCCCCGTCTTTACTGGAAGATTCTTCCTCCTCTCCCAGAATTAAAACCTGCAACTGGCGATTCCTGCAGTGATGTCCCAGGCCAAATTTTTCATCACACTTGAAACATAGACCCCTCGACCTCCGGTGCTGAATCTCCTCCTCCGTGAGTCGGCGATACCCCGTCGCTGCGCCAACCAGGGGTGGTGACCCCCCTCCTTGACCTAGCCGAGTCCTTTGTCCCAACACCGCCTCACTCTGAGGTTTGGATCGAATGGGGCCCTCTGGGGTAAAAGCGGTGGGATTGGGGCCCTCAAAAGACCCTCTAGAATGTCCAAAAAAATTCAGGTCTGTACCCTTGACCCATCCGAGTCTTTCTAACCCGATCCGTTGCCTTATTTCGGGCTTCCACCTGTTGGGCCAGATCCATCAACTCGTGGAGCCCATTGGGCCTGTGCAACTTCAGCTCGGCCTGTATGTCCTCCCTCAGCCCATGGAGGAAAGCCCCCTTAAATATGGCATCGGGGATCCCAGGCATTTGAGTTGTTGTCGTCTCGGTAGTCCACCATCGTGGCTCGCTGCCGCAACACCATCAATTGCTCCACCGGATCCACTTCTCTCGCACGTCCAAACCGCCATAGTA